AACACCATATTCTGGAGTCAGCGTGGGCATAGGTGATCAAAAAAGTCAAACAAGTTTGCTTTCAATGGGCCACAATTCTCAATTCAACACCTCCATTTCAGCCCACACCCCCCTTGGTTTTACTTCTTTTTTTTTTCATTTTGTTTTGTCATTTTCTATTATTTTAATTTCTAATCTTTATTTTATTTTTATTAACACAAACAATTAATCAATTAACATTTTCATAAAAAATAAAAAAAAATAGAATTAACATTTTTATTATTATTATTTTTATTTTGTAAATAAACAATAATTGAATTAGTTTTGTTTTTTTAATTAGGCCATTTTAACCTTTTTTTAATAATTAAAATAGATTTAGATTTAGGTTAACCTAGGATTTTATTTCTTTTCTATTTTATTTCATAAAAACATAAAAAAACAAAAAAAATATTTTCTTTTAATTAAAATAATTAATTAGTCATTAATTAGTTTTTAATTTCATTTAATTACCAAAAAGACCAAAAAATCAATTTTCTTTTCTAAAAAGGGTCAACACCCTTAGCACATTCCGATTTAATTTTTTATTCGCGCACAGTTTATTATTATGTAATTGCTCCGGACATGTAATAGTAATTAGGACTTTTACTGTTTTTATTTACTTTCCGTACTCATTTACTAAAAAACGGGTCTTTGTAATTTTTGGCGATGTATAGACCCGCGCCTTGTAATAGCGTAGGATTTATGTTTCCGCAATTTATTTTCCGCACCCCCTTAACTGCTAAACTTGCATGAAAGAATGTATGTAAATAAAAATAACCCGTAGCTCACTAATTAACCAGACAAACATTAACTGAATACAACACACAAATACACATACCACTTCTAGGGTACGCCTCACTTGTTGCCTTCAAAACGTGGTCATCAAGTATAGGACGTCTTAGTGAGTCCTTAAGTCCATGATCCAGTTGCCTCGAAACAGTTGCCTCGGAACAGTTGCCTCGAAATGTTTGCCTCAGATTAAAAAAGGATCAAGGACATAAGGGTAGCTTCTAAGGTGTCCTACTGTTGCTTCGGTGACCACACTGTCCCTACACTCGAATTGACCCGAACACCTCCAACGGTGGTGCTACCTACCTCTCAATGGTGGGATGGCACTACCTAAAGGACACTTACACAGCTTAATTCCTTAGGGTAGGTAGATGACTCATAGATACTTACTCTTTTCAAAAACAAACAAAATACTTTTCACACCTTACACTTTCAAAAGCTTTCAAAACAAAATTTTCAAACACTCTTGAGGACTGATACAAGAGTTACTTAGAAATTTTTTCAAACGAAACTTTTTCAAAACCCACACACACTTGAAAAGTAAACATTTTTTGAAAACATAAGAGCAAGTACCTAAGAGCCCATGGATAACCATGGATAGAAAGGGTGCTAACACCTTCCCTTTCTATAAATCTACCTCCTGAACCGAGAAACAAATCTCATAAGGAATTTTGCTGTGCTTTTGTCCTTTCCATGTTGGAGAAAATAAAAGACGGTGGCGACTCTTGCTTCCGCGACATTTTGCGAAACCAGCTTAAAAAACAGTCAGTTCTAAATCCACCGATCACAGTAGGTATTTCAGAAGACATTTTATGCTGAAATAAACAGCGAAGAAAATGAGAAACCTGTAATGGTACCTGTAATGATGTGCATGATAATAGGATGCGCATGTAATGATTTTCGAAGACTTTGGGAGATTTAAATTTGAAAAATAAGAAATGAACAAACTTTATTAGATTAACTTGTAAAAATGTTTAACAATGCCTTTGAGGCGTTACAAAAGAAATAAACCGAAAACAAATCTAAACTAGCAAAAAAAGCAAAATCAGAAATCCCATGGACGCTTCCCCTTGGTGATGACATAGTCATTGATCGTCCTTTCATTCTTAATCTGTCTCGTGAGCTTTAATATCTTCCTTTCTTGCTCATGATACTTCTCCTGGTAGGTATCCCTCTCCTCTTTCAACTGAATCCAGGATCTCTTTAGTGCCCCAATTTTAGTGGATATGTAGGGATAAAGGACTGTATAAGGAATGCCCTCTTCATTAGTAGGCTCCACAATCACTGGCAACACAGCTTCATAAGGCATCCCAAGCTTATGAGCACGGGCTCGGACCCACTAGAGATAAGGTTGCATAGGGAGAGAAGTCTTTGGTCCTAGCTCTTGAGGGTTAGACCTGTTCACCATGCCCCAAGCTCGTATAAACCTTTGGCGATGCTCGTCAGCTTCCTCCTTGTAGTCAAATGCAATATCTGTAAGAAGTAGCTCATGAGGACCGTCTCTCCGAGCGCGACCAAACTATCGTAAAGCTAGACAGGGTTATAGGTTATACCCCCTCTGATTCCAAGCAACGAGACATTAGGATATCCCCCACATCGATCAATGACAACAACACTTTCCATAACCTTAAAACTCCAAAGAATGTCCGTATGAGCCATGGACATTGTCCTGTAAGACCACCCTAAACCTTCCTAATTTTTTAACACGGACTTGGGGAGGTGTGAAATAAACCACCTCGCCAGCAAAGGCATACAACACATGAGAGTCCCTCTTCGACGCACAGTAAGAGTGTAGAGGGCATGCAAGATATCACCCAGAAGAGTAGGCCCAAGATTGCGAGACAATAAGATCTTAACTGCATTCACATCTATAAACCAAACCATAGATAAGGAGATCCAAGATGTCTTCAAAATCCTGAAAGTCCAAATTATCCCAGAATAACTGAGCTTGATCTATTAGAAACTTGGCTAAGAAACCTTTAACCCCGCTTCGTGTCTCCCAGTTGGATACTACATCAGCCTGTTTCAAATGTAAAGCTGAAGCAATGTCCTCGGGTCTAGGAGCCTCTTCCAAACCTGTAAAGGGCATCTGCTCGAGGATGGATATGCCCAATAAGTGAGAAAACTCTTCAAAAGTAGGAACTAGCTGATAATCTGGGAAAGTGAAACAATGATGCACCAGATCGAAGAACTGGAAAAGCACACTCATCATTGGCTCATAAAACCTTGAGGTAACCAAGCAAAGAAGCTGACCATGTCTCTTAATGAATGAAGAAGTATCAGAAACTCTCGAGGCTAAATCTTTGAGTTGAGCAGGTATTTGCAAAAAGTTAACTCGGATGGTGTTTTTGCGCATGGAAGCCATAATCTGCAAAACAGAACAAAGATAAATCCCCTCGGTCTTTGAAATGGTTAGTATAATGAAGTATGCGTGCTATGTTATGATGCATGATGTCATGATAAAACACACAACATGTATAGTAGATAACAAACATGGTAAAGGCAAACAAGTCACACAAGAGCCCTTAAGTTTCAGGCTTGCATGGGGTCTAGGTACTACCCTCTTGAAGTTCAGTTGGTTTTAACCTGTCCTAATAATAGTAACCGGGTTCTAGAGGTTCTCAAGATTATTGACCATCCTCCATCGGTCATGGTTTCAGCTCACACAATCTTTTCTTGCGGCCGAAACTATCTCGAGAGGATGGTCTCAATGAGTGTAGCATCGAGTATCAACCAGTTCCCAGCTTTACACTGAGACATGCTATCTCACTACTTCCTATGGCCAAGTTGGTCAATTATAGGTTCTAAGGTCAGTTGATGCTTAATGACACATATAGCAGCCCCGTATTCTCCTCGTTTCTCCACAAGGGATACCGGTACCAACCAATGTGCCACATCAATGTAGCTACTACTTCAACTGTATCGGTCTACGCCGTACAGTTCCCTCACAATTTATTGCTACTTACCTAAAAGGTGTCCCCTAGATCCGGGTTAGGATCTATAGTAACTCCCAATACAAAACCCTCAAAATTAAAGCAATCAAATCAAACAAGAGAAGCAATTTATGATGAACTAATCCTAAGGTATACCCCACTTATCTTCCCCAGCAGAGTCGCCAGTTCTGTCACTACAAGAAAATTAGTGTTTAACGACACAAAAATTGCGACAGTTATGTGATAACTGTCGTAATTGACATATAGAGACAGTGTTTACGACAGTTGACACCAACCGTCCCTAATATTTATTTTGCGATGGTATAATTAACCATCATAATATTATTATTACGACGGTAAAACAACCGTCGGCCCCCATTTAACACTTTTAACATTGATTTTTCACCAACAACTAGTCACGACGGTAAAATTAACCGTCCTAAAAGGCATATCACGATGGTAAAGCACCCGTCGCACCCTTAAACCTTTCACGACGGTAAAATTATCCGTCCTAAAATTCATTTCACGACGGTAAAACAACCGTCGCACCCAAAACCTTTAAAAATTCTCATGGGCACGACGGTAAAACACCCGTCGCCGTAAAAAAGTTAAAAAGCTCTTCACTTTCTACTCCTGCGTTCACTTTTTCTACTCACGAAGAAAATACAAGAATTCTCGACCTAAGGTTCGTATGGGTCTTCCAAAGAAGAACCCTAAAGTTTTGAAACCCGCTTTCACCATTCCTCCCAAACTATTACAATCCCTTCGTTCGTCGGAAGAAGATGAGACCTCCCGGCGGAAGCAACAACGTTCGTCGGCAACCGAAAGAGTCGGCCTACTTACCACCAACTCCACTAAACAGCCACCGTGACTCTGACGTGAGTTTAGCCAGTAGCCGTCCATCCTCCGTCGGAATCCATTCTCTCGACGTTTACAAAGACCGTTCGTACCAACAGAACGCAACCGCAACCATCAATTCATTCCTGGCCTCTCAGGATTTGAATGTCTCTTTCAAACCTTTTTCCTCTCCTTCCGCTAAACACATTCACCAAACCCTAATCTTCCGCGTCGGGCTCAATAAATCTGTTCAGTCTTGTCAATGGAATACTGTGCGTGAAAAGGAAAAAACAAATTGGCGCGGATCACGTTGCTGACGCTGTTCTGCTCCTCTTAAATCTCTGCCCTTTCCATCACTATTTCACAGAGGTTTGTTTGTGAATCGGAGTGCCAAACCAAATCACATTTCACATCATTCCAACCATGCAAGCAATGGGGTTATCAGTAGCAGTTTCAGTTCCATTTTACCATTCCAGATTATGCATCAATGCCTCTCCTCATCCACCCATTCCCCTCAATTTGAATCATGGCTTTTCCAAATCACTTACATTCAGGGACAGACTAACTCGTGGGAAGAGTAGCTATGTCATTCGTTCCCAAAAGAATCGTGACGATGATGGTGATGTCGATGGATTTTACATGAGGAAAAGCGTTGAGCTCGCCAGAAAGGCTTTGGGGTGTACAAGCCCCAATCCTTTAGTTGGATGTGTTATTGTCAAAGATGGTCAAATTGTTGGCCAAGGTTTTCATCCTAAACCTGGTCAACCTCATGCTGAGGTGAGACTTATTTCACACTCTTTGAATTCAAATCATCATTTTCGTGTCACTGCATTTCTATTTCTGATATTTTTCAGGTGTTTGCTCTGAGAGATGCTGCTGATTTGGACGAGAATGCAACGGCGTATGTCACTTTAGAACCTTGTAATCATTTTGGGAGGACTCCGCCTTGCATTGAAGTTCTCATTAAAGCTAGACTTAAAAAGGTTGTTGTTGGGATGGTGGATCCAAATCCTATCGTGGCTTCCAAAGGGTTAGATAGATTGAGAGGTGCTGGAATTGAAGTTGTTGTTGGTGTTGAGGAAGAATTGTGTAAGGGCCTCAATGAGGGTTATATTCATCACATGTTGACCCAGAAGCCTCTGCTTACTTTGAGGTAATTCATTTTCATCTCTATTTTTACACATATACTCCAACTTGCTTTTCTCTAAACATTCATTTGGAGCTATTTCTGCATTACATGTATTCTCTTTCTGTCAACGGAAACTTGTTGGACTCACTTGGGAATGGAGTAACTCACTCTGGTGGATACTATTCTAGGCTATTACAAGAATATGATGCAGTTATATTATCCTCTTCTTTATTCCGTGAAACTTTATCGGTCGACTCCGTACCTTCATCTCAAGAACCTGGAGCCAATCAACCCATTCGGTTTATAATGCATAGAGATTCTGGTTCTGGTTCTTCAAATCAAATTCCATTTATAATCGATAACGTTACTGATAAAATGATAATCTTTACAGATTGTATAACAACAGCTCCCGAGGAGACTCAACAAGGAATTAAAACTGTATCTGTGGATCAAATAAATCTTGATGTGATCTTGGATTATTGTAATCGTCAAGGATTGTGCAGTGTTCTGTTAGATATGAGAGGGAATTTCAATGAATATCAAGAGCTTGTTAAAGAGGATATTAGGAAGAAGTATATCAATAAATTTGTGACAGAAAATTTGCAATAAACTCAATAAATCTGTTCTCAAATCCCCCGCTGCACCTCATCAATGGCCTTCCATTCTCGCCCTCATTCATTGGCTTGTTCAGTCTTGTCAAATTCATCTCTCTTTTTCTTCTCCCTCCCACACCACCACCCTCCAAAGCAACAACATCGTCTTCCAGTATTCTCTCAACGCTTATCTAAATTTCATTAGAGGTGACGATGAAGCCATCTCCGAACTCGACCACGAAATCCGCACCAGGATTCTCCGTGAGAAGTCTAACGCTGACAACACCCTTGCTGCCGCTGAACAAAAGGTCTCTGAATTGGAGGCTCAATTGGAGGGATTGAGGTCTGCTCCTTCTCAGAAGGATTTACTCGACAAAGAGAAGGAAATGCTTTAAGGCGATGTCATTAAGTTTCACAAGATTATTGACGAGTTTGGGTTGCGGATTGAGTTGAAAGAGAGGGATTTGGTGGATAAGGAGAAACAGTTGCAGGCTAAGGTCGTGGAGAGCGACAACATATGTAAAGAGAATAAAATGCTAAAGAAGAAGGTGGAGTCACAGCCTTTCAATACCAGGGACATTGAGAGGATGAAAAGAGAGTTGCAGGCTGCTGAGAGGGATGCTGGAGAGGCTGAACTTGCTAGGAATGATTGGGAGGAAAAGTGTTGGGAGCTTGACCGTACTCTCGCAAATAACATCAGAGACTTAGACCCTATCACCAGGGATTGTAACCAAGCCCTTAAGAGGTTCTTTTCTTTTCCTCTTGTATTGTATTCTATTGCACCCCATTTGTTTTTTTAGCATAATTGTATCGACTATTTACATCTAAACTAAATAACTTCTGTGCTGATGTTAATAGGGATCAATTATTAAGCAAACTCTTACTTTCATGTGCTTCTAGGTTGAAGATTGGTAATGACATTAAATATGTGTTGAATCCCAAGGGAACCACGCCTGCTGAGATCATGGGTATTGATTACAAAGTCACGCTGAAGCCTGCACTTAACTCATTTGCAGATGACATCAAGACTACAATGGGATGAAAAAGGCAGCGTCACACAAAACTACAATTCCTTCGGCGTCGTCAATGACCCTAACTCCCTCACCGATTCTCTTTGAGCTCCTCCTTCTGTCTCCGATGTTTGTAATTTTGAAAAGTAATGCTTGTAATTTGCAGGCATATGCTGCTACCGTACAGTGAATCAAAACTATGCAAATATTCTTTTGATGCTTTTACGTCTCCGTCAGGCTTGTGATCACCCACTTCTTGTTAAAGAATACAATTCTGATCCTGTTGGAAAAGATTCTGTTGAAATGGCAAAAAGGCTTCCAAAAGAGATGCTGATAAATCTGTTTAATAGTTTGGAAACAACTGCCGCTATATGTTTTGTCTGCAATGTAAGTTAATTCTGATTTGATAATTTCATTATTTGTTTCTTTGTTGGAATTATTCCTTCTAAGAGCGTCATCTGATATAGATCATTTTGATCGTATCTTACCAGTCTTTCTCTTCCTATGGTACATGTTTTGTTTATATGTTTAATAAATAACAGTAGTAGGAACACTTCTCCATGGTTTGAAATATGATGAAGTTTGTGAATAAATAACATTAGTAGGAACAGTTAATAATTGGGAATATGGCCTCAATACAAAGAACTAGCTTTCTTGTTATTTTCTTTTCTTCTGATACATGATATAGTAGTACATGATAAGCTTGGTAGACTCTGCTGTTAGTAATTGGTTTAATCTATTTAATGACTCAGTTATTTATTTTGCCTTGCCTGTGTTAAATACTTGAGTAGAGGCCAGAGAATAAGCTTGGAGATGATGAAACGTGGGATAGGGCTGAAAGTGCTCTCAAGAAGCAATGAATGGATCACAATTTGGTAATTTACTTATCTTTTTAGTACATAGGTCTTTTATGCTCAAAGTTGCACTTTTCTGGATGTTGATTCTCTGTGTATATCTGGTTTTGATTTGTCATAACTAGGTTCAAAGAACCTGTATGTTGCAAGAGCACAAAAAAAGGTTGAACGTGAGAAGATCTTGCATCAGTGGTTTGCAGAAAGATGCATGGAGAAAAACTTGAAATACAAGGTAATTCCATACCCTTTTTCCTATAGTTGACTAATTAATTTCAGCTTTCTTAGTTTGCCACCATTTTAACTTTCAGGGATCAAACATTTATGTGAAGAACATTGATGATATTGTTAGTGACGAAGAACTAAAGAGTCAGTTTGTGCAAATCAACAAAGAGAATCGCAAGCAGCTTCCTTATCAAATTACAGGTGCACAATTTTAGTCTCTGAGTTATTTAGTACCATTGCATTACCTAATGTAGTTGCGTTGCTCTAATTTCAGAGAATACAAATTCACAAATTTTCTTACAATACTAATCAATCTTGTTAATAGTTAGTATTTTTCCCATTCTAGATGCTAGCCCACTTGCCTTATTTTCAATCTTAGTGGTCATAGAAGGCTTATGCAGTTCCGTTACCAAAGTTCAACTTGGATGTTTTTTCCATTCTTCAGTTCACTAGCCTGACTTTGGCAATCGCATATGTTGTGGACAGTCTCCTGCTGTCAATCTCAGTTAGAGTCCAATTGTCCGAGGGTGCAGTCTCCCAAAGGACAGAATAAATGATTGGACTCAACAAGCAGATCTGATGTCTGCAATTTGTTTGATTAGTAGATATTTTGACACAGTGAAGATGATTATGAAGTACTTGTAGAGCTTGGCATACCGTACCACACAAGTGAAAAGGAAGATCTGATAGATTTAAATAATATTCATGATAGAAATATCATATCTGGTCATATACTAAATCTTGGCATTGGAACCATTTTTGCCCCCAAATCTCCTAACAAGATCAAACTCAAGTATTACCTGCACGATTCGACTTTAACTTTATTTCAAAATCTAATATTGAAGTTATATTAGTATCATACTCAATTTATAATTACTTGTCTATAAACATGACTTACATGCATTTTAGAGCTTCAAAGTTATCATCACAACCTGATATTTTGTCTTGTACACTTGATCATGCTGATTAGGGTGATGCGCTGCACGGTTAGTTTCTATTTTTTTGAAGATAATGAGTGAATTGTTATTATGGATGAGTGTTTCGCAAACATAGTCTTGAATAGAGTTGATTAGGTTTGAGTTTGATTAGGTTTGTCAAACATTTTCAATTATGCAGGCATGGTTAAACCATCCAAGCTTTTAACATGCTTCCAGTGGGGTGCCTTGATGGTGGCAGGTCTGTGCAGGTAAATTACATTGCTTTAGGTAGATTTAATATTGGAGGATGCATTTTTTTAATTACTTCCTTAAAATGCTGTAAAGTTCAAAGCATGAAGTAGATAATGTAGAAAATAGAGCATTTAGTAATTATCAATATGGAGTTGTTCGCTTTGCCTTATGATGATTGGTAGAAACAATTCACTGGAAGGTTTTTGTTTTTCTACATAAATGTTACTTATTGATTATTTAAATTGATGTTATATGCCACAGGACGCATGTTTCACGGAAAACCACTGTATGTTGCTTTTGCTCAGAGGAAAGATGTTAGGCAAAGCCTATTGCAGCTCCAGCATTCACACTGGTGTTGTTTATCATCACCCTAAGGGTTCTACAACATTTTATCATCATTCATCGGGTTCTATTGTGAGTGACAAATTTGCATAATAACTAGATAAAAGGAGTTCATCATAGGAAATTGAACTCTTAATGCAAATGCATAATTTTAGTGGAAGACAGGTATATTATTTTGACGCATTTAAAGTTAAATTTTATGAGTATTATTTTAAAGATTATTATTTTAATACCTTTTTTTAGGGATTGGAATCACCCGCTGATGGTAGACGTTCATCTGAGTCTAGCTACCGTATTGGAGATAATGGAACTTCAGGGGGGACAAATTAGAGTTTGCTATGATCGAGATAATTAGATTGTGAACTTTCTCATGTATTTTTGGCATAATGATACTTATTATTATAAGATTAGGAATTGATATATTTTGGGTTTTTTGTACTACTTGACATGATTATGGAACTCGCAATTTACATGATTATGGAACACACATTTTTTTGGATATTATAATGCTTATTTGATGTTAAATATTTTTTATTGAAATTATTTTTACTATATTACAAAGTGATAGAAAATAAAATAAAAAATAATACTATAAATAAATATATTAAAGAAGAAATAATTTAAAGAAAAAAATAACACAAAAAAAAACTATATTTAAAATTTTTTACATAGATAATAATTTAAATAAAAAATATATATAATAGAAAAATAAAAAAAAAATCAAGACATAAACAAAAGTCATGGCGACAGTACTGAACCGTCGTAATCAACAATTAAAAATAATCAACAAAAGTCATGACGGTATCGAACCGTCGCCATAAACAATTTAATCAATTTCAAAAGATATTCACGACAGTATCGAACCGTCTCCATCAATAATTAAAAGAAACTCAAAAGATAGTCACGACGGTATCAACCCGTCGTAAACTTGAACGACAGTTTTTGTAACCGTCGCGAAATAGGTTGGGGACACACACTTCTGCGACGGTAAAGCAACCGTCGTGGAAAGCAAATTGCGACGGTTTTAACCGTCGTAATCTACAAAAATACCTGTCGCAATCTGCCAATTTTCTTGTAGTGTGTGATACGGTGGCATAACCTGACTGTTTTAGGAAAATGCTGGTTTGTGTTTTGCGTTTGTGTTCGCAAAATGTTGCGGTAAGCAAGAGTCGTCACCGACTTTTATTTTATCCAACTGGAAAGGAAAAAATCACAGAAAAATTCCTTTTTTGAGATTTGAGTACGGGGGGTAGATTATAGAAATGGAAGGTATTAGCACCCTTTTTATCTGTTGTTTTCCACGGGCTCTTAGGTGCTTGCTCATCTTTTAAAATTGCTTCCGTGTTTGTGTATTTCGAAAAGTTTTTGTTTTACCTCGATTTAACCCTTGCTTCTATCTTCAAGAGTGTTACGAAGTCGTTTTGAAAACTTTGTTTGAAAAGAGTGTAAGTGTGGAAAAAAGTTTGATTTTGAGCAAGTACCTACTAGCATCTACCTACTCGAAAAAAGAATGTTTCTGTTCTTGTTTCCTTTAGACAGCGCTATCCTACTATTAGTGAGTAGGTAGCACTGTCGTTGGAGTTGTAATGGTCAATTCTAAAGGGACGTACGATCAATAAAGCAATGTTAGGACGTCTTAGTAATAACCCTAGTGTCTTAAGATCATATTCGAGGCAACATTTCCGAGGTAACCTTTCCGAGGAAAAATTTCCGAACGAGACTTTTGATCTTTGTTTAGACAAGAGTCCGACCACTAAAACACCCTATACTTAATGATCGTTTACCGAAGGCAACCGGA